TATATTTTGTGTATTTTAATTTTTCAAATTTTTTATATTACATAAAATTAGAATAATTTTATTTTGAATTAGACAAGTACAATTAGGAATTATAAATATTTGAAGTAAGGATTTTAAACTTTATAATTCTACAAATAAATGAACAGAATAAAATATATTTAAATATAGTATTTTTATGAATAAAAATAATTGTCTTAATCTTATGAAACATAATGTTTATACATATTGAGTATACTTTCATATTCTTTAAACTAGTGTTTGTATATAATTAAATATTCCATAATATTATGTTATACAACTTGCAGAAATGCCAGTTGCACAAAATGAAGTCAAGTCTAGCTGGGCTGATGAAGTTGAAGAAGAGGGAGGAGCATTACCTTCCCCTTCAGAAGTCTATGAGAATGGTTTCAAAATTTTCACCGAGTACAAGTACAATCAAGATAATAAAAAAGTTAAAGTTGTCCGTGCTTATAAGATAGAACGACGTATAGTGTCGAAAACGATTGCGGCGCGTAAGAATTGGGCAAAGTTCGGCGATTCTGCTGACGACAGACCGGGACCTAATCCAGCTACCACTGTCGGTGGTGAGGATGTCTTTATGCAATTTATATCCAGCAAAGAGGAAGAGAACAAAGTAGAGGAAGATTCTCTGGACAAATTGAAAAGCATGGGCGACAAGGGAGTTGTCAAGTGCCGTAACTGTAATGGCGATCACTGGACGTCTAAGTGTCCATACAAAGACACTGTTCTTGCTGGTGGTAGGTTTATTGTCAATTGATACAGATACGAAATAAAATTTCATTATATCTTACATGAAAAATATTAGTTTAAACTCTGGCTGAAATATAATAATATTTTTCGCAATAAATTACTTACAGGTTTTTAAGATGCTTATTAGCGTTATTATTAATACTGATAATCTAGTTTGAGATTACTAAAATATAAATAAGAATTTTATTTATATTTTAATTATATAAATAATTTAAATTTCAGTTATATAAATTAATATATCAAATATACATTATTTTTGTACAATTGTTAAAATTCTATATTTTAGGAAAAGTACCAGACGACAAGAAACCCCTCGTTAATACTGGAGTACCCGGTGCAATGGCTGAACTTAAGCCACAAGGTGGCAAATATGTGCCACCCGGTATGCGCGATGGTGGCAACAAACGCGGCGACTCGATGCAGATGCAGAGACGTGACGACACGACTGCTATACGTATTTCCAATCTCTCGCAAAGCACGACTGATGCAGATCTGGATGAGCTTGTGAAACCATTCGGTTCCGTAGTGAAGCAATTTCTCGCCAAAGAGAAGCTTTCCAATCTCTGTAAGGGTTTTGCATATGTACATTTCAAGCACAGGGCCGATGCAGCGAGAGCAATCGCCACTCTGGATGGTTACGGTTATGATCATCTAATTCTGAGCGTGGAATGGTCAAAGCCACAAGCTCAGAATAATTAAAGTGATGCCAAGGGTATGACAGTTGTAAATAAGAAAGTGAAATTACTTAAAATGAGAGAGATCTTTATAACAAACGAACTGTATTTGTGCACATATCTATGTATGTTCTTATGATATGAAGTTGAAAACGATAGAAAAATTGTAAATTTTTTTCTATACGGATTCATTTGTTAGGAATAAATATTTCGAGACAAGTAAATAGAAAGATAGTAATAGTTAGTTAAAAACATGCAAAACACAGTCATATACACACTCTCCAGTAGAGATTAGATAGACTAAATAGAAATTATATTTGTTCTTCTTTTTCAATGGTAAGCGCTCTTTCAATCTTCAAATTTTGCAAGCAATTTTTATCAGCGAGAAACTCTATAGATTTTCTCTCACAGCATTTATAAAGAGAACTGTTATAGGAACATTTGCCGCTGATAAAATCTTATTTAAATGAATTTCTCCAATTCCACTTTCAAGTGTTCCTATAATAAAAAATAATTACTATAAAATCGAATTTTTTGAATTGATCATACTTAAAAAATGCATTTGATATCCAATAGGCTATTTTTTATATAGATTAATTTGGTTAAATTTATTTTTGATTCAATTTATTCTTCATCTTTTTCTTATCTTAAAAATTAGAAAAAAATGAAGAATAATTTGAACCAAGATTAAAGTTAATTTACATTGATGGAAACGACATAAATGTAAAATTTTGCTGTCAACGCGTGACAGTAAAATCAGTATTTTTTTCGGTCGATTTTGAAACTAAATTATATATCAAATAATATCTTTTGATGAAACATTAATCACAAAAAAATTTTTAATTGAGACTAGAAGTGGTTTAAGAGATATGGACTACATTTTATATACTGTTTAGATACGAGTGGCGCAGTCCATGCTCTATATTTTTGTAGGCGATCCAAGAAACCGCTATAAAAATTTTTTTCGTTATAAAAGATCACGCTATTAAACTCGAAAATTATATTCAAATCTTGTTTTGTTCGAAATTGTATCATCTTATCTTATACATTTATTTATATCATTGTAATATAATATAATATTGTTATAATATTCGTATTTAATAATTTCTAATTAAAAAATGAAAAATTTCTTTTAGTATTAAATATATCATGTGAATAGACTGTGCATCCTACCTTTATTTAAAAATTTAGGTACATAAATGTATAAGTACATAAAAATATGTAAATGTATAATATACATATGTTCACTATATATAGTAAATATATATATATAATTAAATATATGTATTATATATAAAAAAATATATAACAAAATATATATAGAGATAGCAAATCAGTTTATTCATTATAATTTTATTAAAATATAAGATCTAATTGCTTTTAATATTGCAATGTATTTCATCTATTATTTCAAATCTTTATTTATTTGTGTGAAAAACATTAATAATTAAAGTATACTTTGTTGTGAAAATCTTATCAATTAAAAAATATTGAAATACATTGTAAATTCTTATGTGATGAATCGATTTCCTTAATTCTTATTTTTTTAATCACTGACTTACAAGAAAATTTGGAAAAATTGCAACCATTAAATTATCAAGATGAAACAGAAATGATTATTAATTTATTAAAAGTAATATTAAAGATAATATTATATCAAACTTAAAACTTCGTTTAATAAATATTACAAGTGTGACATTACAAATGTAAATCGTTAGTATAGACTATGATTTTATTTTAATATAAATAAGTAACATGCCTTCTTGTAGATAAATAAAGAAATTACATGTAAATCTATCGATAATGTCTATTAACTGCGTAAACATTAAAACATTTTAATATATTAAATAAAATATTTAAATTGTGTCAATTAAAATATATACTAATTTATTTATATATTACATATTTTGCACATTCTGGAAAGAAATTAGCTGATTTACTATTGCGTTGGTCTGTTCGTTTCTGTTAATCTTCATAGGCTCGTTTTTTTTAATAACTGAACTTGTTGCACGATTTATTTTTCTCTTTTTTTCTCCAACGTGGAGAGAAAAGGAAGACATATGAATCGTGAACTTTAGCTAAAGAGAACAGACTTCTTGCACCATTTATTTTTCCTCTTTTTCTCTTTACGTTCGAAAGAAAAGGAAGAAAGATGAATGGTGCAAGAAGTTCAGATGAAAATTATGACACGAGCAATGACCAATCGCATCTCGTTCAGCCTCGTTCTCTTCCGTGCGCATCAGCAGTCGATCGGTAAACAGTCGCAAACGGTCGGTGCAATGTACACTCGCGTGATTTGATGTATTTGACAAGTTTCGAAACACAGATTTTGGGAGCATTTTAGCTGTATGCGGAACGTCGATCGCGATCGAAATATCCTTTCCTTTAGGGAATAGTATCCTTTTTTTTTTTTAAATTTCTTCCACCATGGATACGGACAGGCCTCAACATGAGGAGTGGAAAAAACGGGTATGTACGCCACAGGCTGTGTCACTTGTTAGATGGAGATAATTGAGGAAGCCTTATGAGTATTTCACAATGTTGCTTGCATTCTTGAATATCTGGGCAAACAAAATAAATCCGTATTTCATTTTTCTACGCAGTAAATGAGGCAGAATATATCTCGATTAATGCTTCAGCATTTAATTTACATACTTAATTTTTGCTATGAGTCAGCCTAGCAGAAACCTTTCTCTTGTGTGAATTTCATTTAAAATGTATAACAATAAGTACATTCATATTGAAATTTCCAAAAATATTTGCATTTAAAACGAGATAAATATATATTCAGACGTTGAAAACAGCGAAATTTCTAAAAGCAAAAAAATAAAAAGCAATATGATCTAATGTATCTAATGATGCTATATTAAAGGTTGTCAAATTACTGAGTACTAATCCAATATTACTGAATTCTAATCCAATATTCAGGCTTTTGTGGGACCACTGCCAGACAGTTTCTTAAGAATAGAAGAGCGTAACGCACAGTTGCAGCAGGAGGCAGCAGATCAACAAGCTGCTTTAGCTCTGCATCAGCAAATGCGGAGTATGTCAGTGGCTCATGATCCACGAATTGGTAGACTTAGCGTAACAATTTCTCAGGTAATTCTCAGATATCCTTGTATGATTGACATTTCCAGTATTGTTATAAATTGAACATTTCCAGTATTGTAATAAATTGAACCAACAACTTAATAATTTGTACCATCTTGTGCTATAAGAAACCGCTTCTTTCTCAGGCCAAATTAGTGAAAAATTATGGAATGACAAGGATGGATCCTTACGCGAGGATACGAGTGGGACACTCGGTTTTTGAGACACATACAGACTCAAATGGTGGCAAAAATCCACATTGGAACAAAGTAATCCACTGGTGAGAAAGCATACTTTGTTTACACATACGTAAATGTGCTATATATGTTACAATATTGATTTTATTACAGTAATCTTCCACCTGGAGTTACTCAGATATATATAGAAATCTACGATGAATGTTCCTTCGTGATGGATGAATTGATTGCATGGGGTCATATAGAGATTCCACCACAGGTCATTCAGAAAGGAGAAACACACGAAGATTGGTATATGCTCAGTGGGAAGCAGGGAGATAATCAGGAGGGCATGATCAATTTAGTTTTCAGTTACACGGTAAAAATAATGATTATACTATTTTCGCGTATGTTATATATTTGTCATTTATCACTAGTTATACAGTATTTATAATATCAAGCAAACGATTATGAAGTAATAGAGTCACTAAAATTCAAAATGCAATTGCGAATAACTTTTAATATTATTTTCGAGTGTTCCCTAGTGAAAATTTTTTTTATTTTCATACGAATTGGAACATTATTCAGAAATACTCAGAAATATTTGACAAGTTTACATCTTCTCTCAGAATTTTTCATACATGTGAATTCTGAAATATTCTCGTTCCATAATTAAAAAAAAATATTTTTAAATTTTTCAGATTTTATAACATTTCATCAGAAATTACAGTTACAAAAAATCTTAAAAATTTTATGATATTTTATAATTAATATATATGAAAAATTCTGAGAAAAGATTTAGATTTTCTGAGAAATGTTCTAATTCATATAAAAAATGTGAGAAAGTTAAAATTATATAGAAATTTTGAAAAATTATATGAAAAATTCTGAGAAAAATTTTCAGCTTATTTTCAAGTTTCATCTTTTTGTTTCATTTGAACATATTTGTAATAGACCAACCATCCGTACATGGGATCTTCGGTAATGATGGTTCCTTCTACAACCATGTTCGGCATGCCATATGCCCCGGTTAATGTTTATACAGCACCTCCGCCTATTGTTACACCAACGGTTACACCAAGTTCTTTGCCAAATGCTGAGGTCGAGTTGAAACAGGTACTTAGTATACACTTCGTCTATTCTAATTTTTTGTTTGATGTTTTTTTCGTTATATACGCATAATTGTAACATCTATATTTTACAGATCGCAGAAATGTTTCCGAATGTTGACAGGGAAGTTATTAAATCGGTATATGATGCCAATCACGGCAAGAAAGACGTTACAATTAATTCGTTGCTTCAAATGTGCGAATAAGTCCTAATTTTTTACAGTTAGAAATGCCATACGTAATTTTATCGTATCCTTTATTATAATAGATATTTCTTTGAAATGTAAGATGATGTATGAAAATCTAATTTGTAATACTTCCGTACATAACATATATTAAGGCCCAAGTATTCTTTGAATATGTGAAACGAAATATTTCTCTTCTGAAGAAACGTATTATATTTTAATTGAATATAACATTGAATTATTTTTAGTCAATTTTGTTATATATGTTATTGTTATTTCAGAGTTTATCTTTTTCCTCGTAATTCCATATACATGAATATTTATTTTTCAATTACATTATATATTACGTGATACATGATTTATTTGTCTCTGTATATAATTTAAATATACATGCGCGCTCTACAAAATTGTAAAAAGATATACGCTTGATTGATAAAATGTTGCACATAAATTGTAATAAATATTAAATATAATAATATAATTTGTATAATTTTATTTATATCAAAGGAATAAATTAAACCGAAAATGTTAAGGAATATCGAAAATTTTTTACATAAACAGCAAAACGGCTACAACTGCAAAAATAATTAGTGTTGAATATCTATTTCTTATTGTTGAGTTACAGGGCATAACATTGCCATTTTTAGATTTACAGGCACATACTTCGATAGTATATCCTTCAGTCTAAAAGCATATTTAAAAAAGTATCATTATAGTATCTTGTATTTCATTAAATGCACACTGAATATAATTGTAAAGTAAAACGAAGTTAATTACGAAGCGTATGTTATACATACGTGTTTGAGATAACAGTCTGACACAATCGGTGTAACTTGATCTTCTGTGACTTTTCCATGGAAATAACTGATGTTCATAACTACAAATAACATTTATGTTTATATTTATATCTATATAATTCGGATAAATCAATTCTATTTTGTCATGAAGTATATTTACCTGCGCCATTGTACATAAATGTATAGCTTACACAAACGTAACCAGGTTGCATTCGTTGTATGTATCTTGTATTATTATTTTTATCTATATCCTCCCATAGTTTAGTTACATTTGGCTTTTTGTCGTCTGAAAATATGATCAAATTTCGTTTAACAATCAAATTTATTGCTGAAAATGAATATGAACATTATACACTTACAAAAAAATAATGGTTCTATACAAGGAATAAATGGCATATTCTCATTATATTCCTTACAGTCTAACTTGTTGACTTCTGCATGGGAAGGGCCTGGCCATGTGAAGTGAAAACAATACGGTCCTTCGATATTTATCGCTATATAAAATATAAAAGTAAATTCTAAGAAGATATATATTAAAAACAGTTGATAAACTGTGAAGAGTCGAAACAGAATGAAATCAATTGTATGTAAATTAAATCAGATTAATATATATATATATATAAAAGTTTTATGATTTCTTCATATATGTATTCTAGCTCGAAGAATCATCTCTCTCATTCACAATGTGATACAGACTAAGTCAAATCTGTCCTCTGTATTTTTATATATAATTTACATGCTATGTGTACGTAATTATATACATATATGTATATACACATAAGTTATACAATGCGAATTGTCTTAATGTTCTATATGTGCATGTTTGTACGCGAATAGGTGTTTTTTGCGATCTATTCTTATACTGACTGAATATCGAACGAAAACTAGTGATGGTTTAAACATTTTTGATCGGTTACTCCAATTTAAATGAAAGTATATTGCTAACATTAACGGCCTGGAAAGCTATGCGCTGTTATTTGGTACTTGTATTCTTAGCGTGCGACATTTATAAGACATTATCGAGGCGTATAATGTTGTAAAAAGAAATAAATATACTTACCTAATATGTATGTGCAAATCGTTAAAAGCACAACCAAATATACCTCTTTCATTTTTACATATTTAAGAGTTAATTCACACAAGAATATCGCGGATATTATCACATTGCTGAGACATTGGAGACTTCTATCTGATAAAATCGATCATACAATGCCAGTGTCCTAGATATGATAATCGTTATCAATGTACAGCATGATAACATAAAAATGAATCGTAAAAATAATTAACCCTATTGATTTTTAAAATATTTTGTAAAAACTTTGCTTTTTTGTGAATTATTTGCGTTTTGTAAGCTCCTATTTTGGCTATTAATATTCTTTACATTTCGCTTCGAACGGATTTAATCAGAATTGACTTGTGCCTATTTATGTGCTAGATTGACGCGACTGAAGAAGAGTTAATGTTTCTCAAAGTATATGGAGAAAACAATGAAGAGTTAATACAATATAAAAAATTTATTATAACAACAGCTAATCGAGATTTACAATTTTTGGCAGATATAGCATATTTTATGCATTTCTCTCTACAATATCAATTATGTAAATACCACGATATATAAAAACATCTATTTATTACAGTAAATATAGGTATTTTTCTTCTTAGATAAACTATATCTTAAGTAGATTTAAGTATTATGAGTAATTTGTTCGTTAGTGATTTCTTTCTTATGAGATTACGTCTCATTAAAATTCATCATGCCTCGCTAATGCCTCGCCGAAGTCCGTCGCCTGTGATCCGACAAAGATGTCATATTTCTCCAAAATCTCACTTTTCGTCAGTTTGTGATCCGCATCTGTGTCCGCTTCGTAGATCAAGTGTCTTGACTCCGCCTCAGCGTGATCAAATTCCGCAGGAATAATCCACGTTTTTACCTGTTTAGATTGGAATTCGAACTTTATCAAAATCAGTTTTATCGAATTAATTTATCAGTAATCCTCTTCAATATTTTTAGTATACATTTTTATTCAACAATTAAATGATATAAAGAATGATTAATTACCTCGTCAGCGTTCAAGAATCCATCCCCATTTTTGTCTCTATACAAGGAGAATTGTTCTTTTTCGTTCTTTACCCATTCTGGTTCCTCTTCACCTTCCTCACCTCTGTACATATCACCTGCGGACAAATTAAAAATTTAAGAACTGTTTAAGCTACTTTTAGAACGACATTCTAGTGAAAATTCAATAATTATACGTGATTTTAGTTATTGATTTTGTTATTGATTTTGTCATTAGCAAAAGATACCCAGCTCAAATAATCCATGTTTCATATTAGTAAAAATTGTTGAAAGTCTACATATCTTTTCTAAAATTCTTCATATAAATGAATTCTAAAATATTATAAGATTTCTAAGATTTTTTATTTTATAAAATTCTGATAAAATTTTATAAATCTGAAAAAGATGAAAGTATAATATTTTTTTTTAGAAATTATAGAATAAGAAATTTTAGAAATCTTAGAATGCTATAGAATTTATACATATATAAAAAAATTAAGAAAAGATATGGACTTTTTCAATATTTCTGAAAAATGTTCTAATTGATATAAAAAATTTTAGAAAAAATTTTCATCAGGGTAATATAATTCTCCCTTACCAATATATTCTGCAAGAGATATCTTTCCATCTTGATCCTTATCAATATCCTCCATCGTTTCCAGCACTATCACGTCCTTCATATGTTCCGCATCTTCTGCATGAAGAAAGGCAGTGAATTCTTCTTTGGTCAGAGCATCATCACCATCCAGATCCGCAGTGGTCCATCTCCTGCGGTCCCTTTTGTACATTTGGACATACGAGAATGACTCGTCCGTTTTGTCGCTCTCTCGTTTTTCCGCCTCTTGTTCCTCCATATCACCATAAACCATGTCTTTGTATTCCGTCCAAGACAATTTCTCCTTCCCCATCGGATTGTGGGATACCCACTGACGCTCCACGTCATCCCTGATGTAACGTTGCTGTGTGTACATTATCCAGTCTTTCAGTTCCTCTTGCGTCACATAACCATCACTATCCTTGTCTATTTTATCAACAATTATTCCCAATCGTCTTGTACTTTCCTCAGGAGTCAGCTGATCAAAGGTTTTGGCTTCTTCTCCAAGGAAAGCTTCGTGGTCATAGGCTGGATTGTGTTGGGAATGAACATAGTGATCTTTACTGCCTGCATCCTAGAATATAATGCACTTGATAAGTTTTTGAATCGTTTCTTTTTTTTTATTCCTTACAACTATAACTAATTAATACAAGTAATACAAGAAGAAATTTTTAATAAAGATAATATATTTTTGTGAATTAAAAAGAAAGATAGAATGTAGTTAAGACTTCAATTTTATGAAGAAAATTGAAAAAATAATTTAATATCTGTTTTAAAATGTCTTGTGCTATCTATATAATATAATATCCTGAAGGAACAAGTTGAAGAGACATCACCCCGTGATGCCTTGCAAAAAAAAGCAATGTCACATTACCTACCAATAGAACTTCACTTTTCTGTCATAGAAAAAAAATGCTTTCAATGTCAGAACTAACTTTTATTTGATCATTTATAAAATATGAGAACAATTATCAAAGATAATTCACAGTTTCTCTAACCTTGTTTAAAATGCGATGCTCGCTGTCCGGGATCACCTGCTTCGGGATCGCCGTCGCCAGAATGGAGAAACCGATTAGAATTTGAAGGAACATAAGTGCTCGCATTCTATGGAGATCGCGCGCGTGCAATCGGGACGAAGAAAAAAAAAGGAAAAGGCGTAATGAAAAAAGAAAAAGGGAGAGATCGTCGATCGACAGGCTCGGTGAATTTACAAGACGTCTTTCTTATGTCGGAATGAAGAAATGACAGATGAGTTGAAATGAGATCTCTTTCGCCAACAGCTCGCGCGACTTCCACATCAGCAAGAAAGATCGTAAAGCAGCACACACCCCCACCTTCCGCGCTCGTTTATGAGAAGACGCGCCGTGACGACGCTACCGACACCGACGAGACGCGCCTCTGCATGCTGATCGTACGGCGGACGAAAAACGTACGCCAGACGTTCAGCGGCCGATGCTCCCTCCCCGAGAAAACGAATCTACAGCCTCCACGTGGACCGTAGCGATGATAATGGGGGCTCTATTACGGAAATCCTTTAAATAAAGCGCTCTCGCGCTTCTTATTTTAGACTTTTCAGTCTCGCGATACAGATGGATAGAATTATGATTTTTTGAAAAAGAAGAGAAAGAAGGGAATATAAGGACAAATTGTACAAATAAACAGTTGTGTAAATAAATTAACAATTCTGCCGATTGAATCGTCGATAAAGTGAATAAATCTAATTGCGAAATATTCTACAGACTGCGTTCTTAAACAATTTTCAATCGACAGAATTATTAATTTATTTAACTGTACAATTCGTTCTTAGTTTCTTCTTTCTTGCGGTAAAAATTGGTGAGTCATATTCATGTTAATAAAATATCGAAAGTGTTATTTGCTAAGTTAATCGCTGATTAAATTAAAACATGTTACAAAAAATTGTATGTAATAACACAAAATAAAAAATTTGAGTTTGAATAATATGCGAGTTGGCGATTTAAACGGAGTCAGCAAAATCTGCAAAAATATGGGAATTAAATTCGCGTGACTCAATTTTTTAAACAAGTTTTTATTTAAAATAACATGTGCCAGTTCTGTCAAATGTTTATATTATTTTTTTATTCTATTGTAGATCTTTGTTTCTACCATTATTAGATATTTATTATCTCAGATATCACAAAGAGTTCAAAAAGAATTCAGTGATTCAGGTACAAAAAGAATTCTTTTTTTGAAAAAAAGAATTCTTGTTGCATCTGAAAATGAGTTCAGAATTGATGACCTATCACTGAATTCTTTTCGAACTCTCTGTGCTATCTGGAATGTACTCGTTGAGAACGTTCGATCATACTACAATGGTATATATATATAATACTATTTTACACTGCATACAACAAGTAGAAGCAATAGAAAGTAACAATTTAAAACAGTTTATCATGTAGACATTCAACTACAATGTGAATTCAATGCAAGAATCAAAATCAATATAATTTTACTTCTAATTATTCGTTTTCAGCTTTATTAAAGCAATCTCTAAGCAATTTTCAAAGCTTTTTTTTACTGGTAGAATTGTTGGTGAACCAATCACAGATGTTATATTTAAAAAGCTAAGTGAAAAAACACAATCTCTGTACAATTGCCAATTCATTTTCTATATGTTCACATTGATGAGCTCTCCAGTCTAACGCTTTTTTGCTTTTTGGGAATACCAGTCTTTCTAAATTCACTTCTTTCCATCAGGTACTGCTCTGTGCATTCTTTAATAAAGTCTTGATTGTAGAACCACTTTTCCATGCAGGCCTTCATCTTATCATTTTCTTTCCTACATTTTACGACATGCAATAAACCAGAATTGAGACAGCAATCGTGAAATTCTAAAAAAGAGAAGATGTTTGCATTTGACTCTCGCTGGCGCAAAGCCAAGTAATAAAATAACATTATTTGTTGTCATGTTGATCATGATGAGGGGGGGAGGGAACTACTAAATTTACAAAACAAAAATAATTAAACCTGTTTAAATAGACTATGCTTAATAAATATTTACAAGAAATTAATTTTGAAAAAGAAGAAAGAATTGGAGGCGAATATTATAGAAAGATTTTCTGAGAATCTCCAAGATGCTAATACTATAAATTTGAATTTTTCCAATTAAAAAAATCAATTTTAAAAGAAAATAAAGTAAATTCAATATATGAATTTTTTTATTCATCTGCTGGTAATTAATTAAAAATAATAAAACAAATCCAATAATCCATATTATTTGACTATACCCTCCTTTCCAGAGATTCGAAAGTTTTAAACAAAATCCTATAGTCATGACAACAAATAATGCGCTATTTAGAAATCAAATAATTTATCCAGATAAGTTACCTTTGACCTCGTTGACACACTTTTCGGATTTGGTTCTCTCTCGTATCAACTTGGGTACCAACACATCTTTCTCTACCTTCCTTAAACTTTTGTCGTTAGGATCTCCTGAAATAAACATAAAATATTCACTCCGAAAGAAAGAGAGATCATGAGACTCCAGCGAATATGTGAATTGCTGAATAAGAAATCATTATTATTAATTGTCAGCAGCTTATTTTTTATTGTCAGCAAATTTCAGATTTCAAATACAAAGAGTATAAAGATCCCGAGCTCGGTTGCTCTTAACTCTCTTTCTGTCGGGATTAAAAACTCTAACCTGTCATCAACAGTTTTCGGCAACCGGCGACAAAGTTATTTCGCCGATTGCGGAATGTCGACGTGAAAAGTGCGTCGCAATAAAAAGATTACCTAGTCCCTTCGGTCCCTTGCTAAATTTCGGCGAAAGCACCGAGTAATCCTCCTTCATGCTGTCGGAGCTTTTGGAGCAGATAAAAATATCTTTACACGGGTGCACCACGTTGAAAGATCTTTTACTTCCATACTTATCCGCATCCATCACACATGTGTCAAACCACGTGACTCTCTCTCTCTCTCTCTCTCTCTCTCTCTCTCTATCATGATAGATTCGTACTTAAATGTAACAAAAGACATTATCACTTGTTTCTTTATAAATGTTTTCGAAACAATCTTTACGATAAAAGTTATAAAATAATATTTTAAATAAAGTCTTAACTTTTTATACCTTTTATCAGTTTATTGATATACGCTTAGAAAAAGAAAAGTCGATTTTTCTTGGGAAAGAATTTTACTTTTAATGCGTAAAAAATATAAAAGCTCAAAGTCGCGGGAAAAGAACATTAGTGTGTATTTCCATGCGAGTTTATATATACATATATATATATATATATAAAATAAAATATAATATAATGTATATATAATATAAAATATGCGAAATATAATATAATAAATGTAATATACGATTTGACAGTTCTGTTTTCGACTCGCCGTCTTGCAATACTGGGCACACTTGGAGCAACCAGCAGACTGCGCTCGTGATTGTGCACATTTGAGACTTGTCATCGGTGACTCCAAGTAACTCCGAAGAAGGAATGCTCGTTCGATCTGTCACAATAACGGGGAAATTCTGTTGCTGAAGACAAAAACTGTCGTAAGAACAACTTATATCTTAATCTGATAAGAGTCGCGCATCACTTTTGAACTGTATATCGTCAAAGGATAACAGAAAATCCACATAGCGTTCTTTTCCTAACCTCTAAATGTTAGCTTGTACGTACATACAATATAACATATATATACCGGATTTCTAAAGATTTTGTGCTGTAATTGTATAATGTGTTTCAAATATTTGCAGAGTGTAGAACACATAAGAATGGACAGGCTGTTGCGATTAGGCGGTGGAATGCCAGGCCTAAATCAAGGGCCACCACCCTCTGATGCACCCGTTGTGGACACAGCTGAGCAGGTACCTATCATTCAGAACATTGTTTTTTATTCCCTTTATGTTGTCTTATTTTTTTGCATTATTATAGGTATACATATCGTCCTTGGCTCTTCTGAAAATGCTTAAGCACGGCCGTGCCGGAGTACCGATGGAAGTGATGGGTTTGATGCTGGGTGAATTTGTTGATGATTATACCGTTCGCGTTATCGACGTCTTTGCTATGCCACAAACAGGAACGGTAAATGTTAAGATATAAATGAGAAAATTGATAAAGTTTACTTTTGTATATGTCATTTGTTATTTTTATGTTCTCTTAGGGTGTTAGTGTAGAAGCGGTAGATCCAGTGTTCCAAGCAAAGATGTTGGACATGCTAAAACAAACTGGTCGGCCAGAAATGGTGGTTGGCTGGTATCATTCCCATCCAGGATTTGGATGCTGGCTGTCTGGAGTAGACATTAATACACAACAGTCCTTCGAAGCTCTTAGTGAAAGAGCGGTAGCTGTTGTCATTGATCCTATACAATCAGTGAAAGGAAAAGTTGTTATCGATGCATTTAGACTAATAAATCCAAACATGATGGTGAGTACATTTGTAACAACAATGTTTTCCAATTGTGACTCCATCGTACCGATTACAGGTTTTAGGACAAGAACCCAGACAAACGACATCGAATTTAGGTCACCTACAGAAGCCGTCTGTTCAAGCGTTAATACACGGATTGAATCGGCATTATTACAGTATTAGTATTAATTATCGCAAGAACGAACTGGAACAAAAGATGCTGCTGAATCTTCATAAAAAAACATGGATGGATGGTCTTACTCTTGCCGAATATTCAGAACATAGTCGACTCAATGAGAATATCGTTTCCGAGATGCTTGAACTCGCGAAGAATTATAATAAGGTGAAACATTGCACAGATATTAAGTATCTTTTATCATAATAACCACAGAATTTTATTTTCACAGGCCTTGGAAGAGGAGGAAAAAATGACACCAGAGCAATTAGCGATAAAGAATGTGGGCAAGCAAGATCCGAAACGGCATCTGGAAGAGAAGGTCGACACATTAATGGCTACAAATATTGTTCAATGCTTGGGAGCTATGCTCGATACAGTTGTATTCAAATAACTGTTTTCCAATACATCACTTGCAATATGATATTTAAAGGAAATATACATCTTTTTAAAATAGAAATATAATGTTTTGTTACTTTCCAAAATGAACACAATTCAGCAAAAACTCGAATTAATACATGGACTATTCTATGTTTTATAAAAAAAAATGTTTTCTTTATAAAATTTTGGTATAATTAATCAAATTGATACTAAACATTGTTATAAATTATAACATGTGAATGTTTAATGGAAAAAATGAGGTACATAATAATTCTGATATTTGACACAGAATAAGTACAATATGATAAAAAATAATCAAAAATAAGATATTTTCTAATTATAATATTATATAGTATAATCTATATCATTAATTATATTCCTAATATAATGATAGATATAGATTCACATATTGCAGAGAAAACATAAAAAATGCATTAGTTACATAAATATACTCTAAACATGATTCTTATCTCCGCGTGATAAAAAGGTATATATGTACACAGTATAAATTCTTTGAATTTACCGAAACTCAGATTATAAATTAGAATACTAGTTTAGACGTATATATTTGCATTTAAGAAAAAAGATATGTGATAGATAACATACGAAAAACATTAGGAAATGTAAATTAAAGAATCGCAGAATAGTTTGTATTCCTTTAGATTTTCGGAATACAAACATTTATAAAGTCAAGAAAATAGTGTATATATAAAACTGGAACATTCTCTCGTAACATATAGCAGAATGTATAATTCAATAAAAAAATAACTGTACATTTTTCTATGTAACAGTTTAATCTAAAAATTTTTCTTTTTTTGAGTATCGATCTAACTTGACATAAGTTCTTGATCTTGATCTTTATCCTTCTTTTTCTTTTTCTTCTTCTTTTTCTCTTCCTTTGCTAAAGATTCCTATAACATACACACACACACATATAAATATCTTGTATAACGCCCAAATTTTTAGATTATATAAATCTAATTGTGACAAAAAAATCCAATTACCCCACTGGTAACTTCCTCCATTACTACTTCGTCTTCTGTGTCACGTTTCTCCTTCTTCTTTTTCTTTTCTTTTTTCTTCTTTTTCTCTTTCAGTGATGATGTTTCTAAAATCTCCGATGTTTCTTGTTGGACTTCGTCCATTGTAATTGTGTCCTCTCTCTTCCTCTTTTTACCGATGACTATGTCACCATTCTTTTCCGTCTACATTTATTAAAAATATCTTGTAAATAATATTTCTAATACTTTATACATGTATATACACGTTTATAAAAAATATTGAAAGTTTAATTTAATAAAATATTGGAAGGCATTAGAATAGTTGACTTACCGTTGATGCAGTTGTTGATGCCGTTGTCGTTGATGGTGTTGTCAGGTTTTGGTAATCTTGGTAACTATGTGACCATTCAGGAGGTGTTTTTTCATTTGGTTTTCCATATTTATCTAACAATCCTTCAGCTACCATACGTTTTTTTTGCGACGCTTTTGGTCCCAAACCCCACTTTCTTGGATATGAATCTCTCTCCATGATTACCCTTTTGAGTTTTGCAGCTACTCCATGATCACAAGCAGCCATAGTAGGAGAAGACATCAAAGCTATAGCTGATGTATACAAGATAAAAATAAATATTGTTTGAAGACCACAGATAAAGTTAAGTATTTTGAAGATTAAATATAAAAATGGACATTAAGTTGAACAGTTTTGGATGAATAGTAGAAGTTAAACAATGTTGAGTTAAGCATTATCGTTACTTTGAAAATATATTTACCAATTGCTACAGCTTCACCCTTGGTAGTTACGATTACAATTTCTTCATTTAATTCTATCCCTTGATCGTACATCAAAACGCCTGGTAACATTATTTTAGCTCCGTAACAAATTGCGTTTACCTAATAAATTTTGTGTAACATAATACTATTAAATAACAATAGACTTCTTTTTCAAAAGGTAAAATAAGTGGAATACATACAGCGCTGTCCTTTATGATGATTCTTTTGTGATTTATTAGCAGTGACTCCAATGGCCTTATAACTCTTCTTAAATATGATTCATCTCCATGATTATCGTACAGCCATTGAGCATCAAGAATATCCTGCATAGTGACCATACCATCCTGTTCAGATAAAACGCCAGAACGACTTCTTCGAAGTTCTTGCATGTGACAACCAGTACCTAAGAAGAGTCCAAGATGGACACACATAGTTCTGATATAAGAACCAGCTTCACAACTGACACGGAATATTCCCATATTGCGTTCTTGGTCATAATCGAGGAACCAACTGTCGTAAACTGTTCTGACGCGGAGCTGTCTCTTGACCGCCGATATCAGCGGCGGCCTTTGGAAGAGAGCACCGCGCAATTTTTCCAAGGCTTGATTCACCTAAATCATCAGTATTAGTGTGAAATCAATACAAGATGCCTATTTGGATATTGATATACAATAATTATCTTTTGGATAATAAAGAATTAATAAATATTAACATTTTCGATTGTCAGATAGGATCTCATGTTTAACAATAATTTTTACTAATTTTGTACATATATTTAAGAGTTATGAGATAAATAGCTGCAAATAAATGATACAGTAATCACTTATCAGAGATAAGAGATTCATTATTTGATTCCCAATCATACTATCATACATTTATTTGTATAAATATTTGTTTATTTTGCATTATATTGATTTATATTTGTTTAAATATTTATTTATTCCATTATCCACAATCACCTATATTTACCTTTTGAACACTTTCAGCAGCAGAATGAAGCTTGAATACAGCAACATATTCCTTTCCAGCAGACTGCTGCGACTTGGCTAGTCTCGTCGCTCTGTCTATGCAGACTATCAAACATCCTGATACTTTGGGATCCAATGTACCAGAATGACCAGTCTTCTCCACCCTTAGGATCTTTTTTATCCAAGCTACTACTTCGTGTGATGATGGGTTGCATGGCTTGTCCAAATTGATACAGCCTGATTTTATATACTCCGACAAGCTGCGATTTAGTGGAGTAGAACCACTGGTCAATGGAGTAAAGTGCTTCGTACGTGTCAACATTTTATCAAAATTCTGCAATAAGAAATAAGAAATTTGTCTCTCAAATTTTTCAAATTATATTACATAGTTGTTGCAATTACGTAGTATATAAAGATTTATTGAAACAAACATTACCTTAAACAGCAGAGGCCAGTCTTTACATTCGAGCTTCACCTCCATCTTCGAAGGGTCGATCTCACATTTGGTCGTCAATTGCAGTTCACCAATCGATTTCTTATCCTTTTTCTTGTTCTTGTCTGTAAGAAAATTGGGAGGTATAACCTAATCTACCTTAACCTCCACTTAATAAATAAAGCAAGCTAATTTTCTCGTGTTATATTCATATAAGTAAATGTAGTGCGCAACGTTTCTTTGGTCTGTTAACTTTGTTTAATATTTTAAACAGTACTATCATCGTAGGTGACCGATGTTGCGCTGAGTGAACACGTGTTCATCATGGGATTACTGTATGAATTCATAACAGAAACGACGCGATCCGGATTAACGCAAATAGAAATCGATGTGATATCTAAAAAAGTACTTCGTATGGGAGCGATGTTATTTACCTTCTTCCATTTTAAAATTTGTTAAAACTTATGTAAAATTCAAATGCCGCCAAATGCTACGAAGCGTACTAAAATTCCAAGAGAAGAATGAACTTGTGAAGCAATATGTGGAGAACGTTTCTAGAAGAACAGTGTTCTGAAATCTGAATCCTAGTGTTCCTAGCATAAAAAAGGCAGGTATACCAATAAGTCTGTTTGCATTGCTCAAAATCCCCAAAAATTTTTGAACTAATAGCGTTTTCGACCTGACCGGGTTTGCACTAACTTGGGTTAGAAAATACTTCGCTATTGGTTGACGTTACACGCTCTACCAATAGGAGAGCACGAAACATCATTACTTCAACCCAAAGGTTAGTGCAAAATCGATCGGACCGAAAACGCTATAAGAGTACGGTCAACGCGATGCTGCAAACGCTTTGAAGCAATTCTTAATTGGTCAGTTTGTAAAACTCTTTCTAATTGATCCATTAAACGCTTCAAATCATTTGTAGCGAGACTTTGATCACAGCTTAATGCTTCCGGCACACCAGGATATCAATTCTCTAACTTTCATCATGAAAAAGTGAGTCATGTCATGCGAATTCGTTCGGCAAGAAATTTCTTGTAAATATATCTGTTTTATTATTGAATAATGAGGAAGATAAAGAGGTTTTTGAAATACACGATGAAATGAAAATTACTCAGAGAATACTCAGAGATGTATCAAATTCTTTTTCGGTTTCTGATAATGAATTTCGTAGGTTGTACAGCTTAATACTAAAATACCTGATAATACTAAAATCCTGATTGGTTCAGGTTAAGTTTACATCTTATGCATACTATTATGGAATTTTGTGTGCGACAATACATAATTTTCTTTATAACTATGAGCACTGTTGACAATATCAGAATGTTTTATTAGCCTTATATACAATTTGCGTTATTACAAGTATAGACAATACGTTACTGCACTGATTCATTAACAAATATTAAGTTTTTTGAGTTTTGTCCAGCTAGATTGACATTTTATCCCATTGTGTGTCAAGTTGTAGCCAGATTCCAGATCATTTATTTAATAAATCTGTTGTTACTATATAATTAAATGGTCGCCATCTCGTTTCTCCAGCCATTGGAGAAGGAAAAGCCGCTAGCCTCTAAAATAGATGACCTGTCAGAAGAATGATAGTTCCATCAGAATCCCAGCTCTTCTATTAATTGTGAATCCCGGACTTGGTCCATCCGCAAGTTATTCTAACTTGAAGTAATCAATCTCAATCATGAACATTAACTTTTAATCGCTAATTGATTGTAATTAATCGAACTTTGATTAATTACAGCTTTAATTATTAACACAGAACAAGGGATGTGATGAATGTGGATGGATGGCTAAACTAAGTGTTATAAGTAATAATATCTATTTATTCAATTAATCTATGGTATCACACATTCACGCATAAACATACAATTGTATAATCATATTTGTATCAGGAATACATATTCATATCCTGGATATAGGAATATATCTGTCGTGCCTGCGTTATATATTTGTGTGACATGTATTTTTTAACGCACTTTTTAATAGTATTCATAGTGTTTTGTTTACAATCATGTTCGTGTTTTATTTGCAATTATGCTAAACAGGGCTTAGCATATAAGCCCGCGATCGCGTTTCATGTTCTGGATGAAGACAGTATTACGTCATGTCATGTATTCGCGTTTTATGATTTTTCATACTTATGCCAATTCGTATGTACGTTCTTATAACTCTATTTTATTTTCGCATGAACGCCGTAACGATCAAATACACGATATTATACTAATTAATCAAAATATTCCGGTTTTATGATAATGTCCGCAGCAATATTGATATCATGTACATTATAGTCCTCTATCTGCATGGTTTGGCTTCTATTGTCTCGCTGTGTTTGCTGCACATCCAAGTCGTTATTTCTATCTGGCTGAGTAGTTGTATTTTCCTTCAGAAGATTCATAGGTAAACGTTTCTGCTCGCTTACTTGAATTGTATTATTCTTCTTTGACAATCCGTCAATTCTATTGATTGATAGTATCATATTAGTCCTTCTTATACTCTCCATAAGTTGCTCTCGAGTACACCGATTCTCCTATATCAAAAGACAAATTTAAACATGAAACAGAATTTATATTCGTTTTCATTCTCCTTGCTAAATTGTCGAGGGGTAAATATTCACGAGATAATTTATATAAATTTGATAAGTAAAACTTTCGCATAAGAGTAGAATGTATTAAACTGAGTCGAAAAATCTTCTACCATTATAAAATTTTCGCAAAAGTTAATATCTATATTAAATATTAATAATCACTAAATATTGGTTTTTAATAATTTTTTTATTCAAATACTATCAATTTTACAGAAAAACAGCAGATGACAAAAATTGTTTATTTTCTTCTTATAAAGTTCTAAAAACTTTTTCATAATTTTTTAATATCGCATTTTCTCATGTTAGTAAAAATAGTTGCTAATGCAGTACTACAAAGTTGACAAAAAATTCTGAAAAAATTTTTAGAGCTGAGAAAAAGCTATGAGAAAAAAATAAACAATTTTTGTCTTTTGATGTTTTTCTGTAAAGTTGATAATACTTGAATACAAAATTATTGAAAATCAATATTCGGTGATTTTTAGTAATTGATATCTTGTTAACTATTGCGGAAATTGCAAAATGGTAGAGGACTTTTCGACTCAGTTTAGTCCGCTCTACTCGTACGCAAGATTTTTTATCGTTACTTATCAAACATCCTGTATAAATTGTAAAAATTTGTTACATTTCATTTAGTTTTCCAAATTACCTTATTTGTCGTTGTTTTGTTTCTTATAGGAATAAATCTTCCTTCATGTGATCTCGGTCTTGATTGTGCATACAGGCTTAACTTTTTATTCATAGATAATCGTTTTTTTTCTAGTTCTGGATACGATCTTTTAAAAGATTTGTACGGGTGTTTCGCGGAAGATTTTCCCTTTGTTGTACTTCTAGTACTTATTACTGCTTCTTGCTGTTCCTCTTCAGTATCTGTTGAAGATTGTAATTGTTCCATTTCCTCGCTTACATTTTGATCTATAAACTGTATCTCATCTAATACTTGGGCAATATCGTCATATTCTTTTATGGTTTTGTTGATTTCTTGGTCTTTCATTTTTTGCTTCGAATTAAGCTTTTCTTTTGGGAAGGATTCTAATGTCTTTAAGATGATTTTCATCTTTTTTATTCTTTGAATTCTTTTTAATATCTCTTGTTTTTCCTGCAATTGAATTTGGATCTTGCGTAATAATTCATTCTCTTCATTCTCGATTCCATCTTCATTGTATAATTGACTATCCTGCAGATCGAATTCTTCCATTTCGATTGCTACTTTAAATTGCCTTTCTGAATACGTTTTGCTGTTATCTGTTGTGTTCGATCACGTGTTTCGAACGTTTCCTATTTATTCCTTCCACCATTGATGATATTAAAGGCTTAAACACAATAAGCACAGACAATGAGCACAAGGAATAGGGAATAACGAGCTGTCCAATTAGAGTTCTGGGATGTAATATCTCGATTTTAACCTATCAGAAATCGGATACATCAGAATACATGGTTTCTGATAACTTGAAATCGTTTATTCTTTATTCCTAATTCCGTATTCCTTTTATTGTGCGCAGAGCCTAACGATTCACTAGATACTTTTCCCTGCTGCAACAAATGATTGCAGCAGCTGGTAACTTTGGGTGCATCCAGAAGCACAACCGCTTAAGGTGCGATTACATGTAGCGCGGTACAGAAACTAATTAGGTAACTATAGGAAACCGCTTGCTTTTTTTCTTCTCTATTAGGATGAAATCATACGGTGCGGAAAATGACTTCGGAAAGCAACCAATCAGCGTTATTCTGCGTTATTCCGAATAGCGCTAATTGGTTGTTTCAATGACGCATTCTCTATTCCGCAGTCGTTTTTCACACCATGTGATTTCACCCTTATTCTCTGTTCTCTGTTCCCTGTTCCTTTTATTGTGTGGAGCCCCTTACCGTATCAGCTGATCACCATATCAGTAGTATGTCACTGACTGTGCGCATAATGTGTGTAGGAGATTGATTAGGATTGACAAATATGTAAAATAAATACGACAAAAGAAAGTAAAGCGAAATTAAAAAATGCATCCGTACTGGATTTTCTGCCACAGGAGGGACACGAGAAAGTATATACTCTTATACTACTACAGTCACTTCGTTTGTTTAACGCGTCAGATGAATTAAAATAATTAACATTGTTACTCTCTCCGCAGTCCCAACTAACAATAACAGTTTGTCATGGGTGAGCGAAATGTCAGACTAATTTGCTCCCTTTTCAATACGATGATCATGCGCCCCTGTAAAACTTATTTTGTCCGTCGCGAAAGTTTATTTTAATATAGCTGATGTAGCGAACAGACCGAGTTATTTCGGGTCTGCGTCCATTGCTTAATCTTGGATTCACTGATCGATTCCCACCTATCTTAATATTGAAAGTTACTCCCTGGCTTCAATGCCTCCCAGGGCACTCTATTAATTTTACATTTCAAATATGGATCCAGATCCTGTAGAGATGGCGAACGAGGTCAAAAACAAAGTTATACTGCATTGGAACTGTCGGGGTCTCGTGGAGTTTCCAGAGGTAATAAGACTGCATGGCAGTCACATTCAGGAGATATATCTGAAGTGGAACAAGCTGACCACTCTACCACCGTGGATCACGGAGTTGTTCAATGTGACCAACTTGTACATGTATGGCAATCGGATTGAACAGTTGCCTGTGGAACTCGGCGGAATGAGTCAGTTGACGGTGCTGGATTTAAGTGCCAACAGATTAGACCTGATATCTGCCTGCATCGGCAATCTAAGCAATCTGAAATCTTTATTCTTGAACGACAATTTTATAGAGAGATTACCAATTGGTAAGTTCAAGACTATTAGATGGTTGTGCGTAAAGGGGAATAAGGTTTATTGACTCACATGAACGAAACAAAAACAGAATTGAGCCAACTGAATAATCTGGAAATACTGTCTGTCTCGGGTAATCAGATTGTCGCACTGCCGGAGTGGACCGGTTCTCTTCCAAGACTTCGAGAACTATATGTGGATAACAATCAACTGAGGGAATTACCTAACAGATTGACCATAGCTCCTGAGCTTACTATGATCTCCGTGTGTTCAAATAGGTTGCTATTTCTATTAATATTTTGCGAATAAATATTCTGATTATTAAATTAAATATAAAAAGTCTGATATTCATAATCTGTTTCTAATTTTAAGATCATCTTCAATATAGTCTTACAATGTCATAAGCCAATTACAGCCGGTTCACAGTCGCGATTGTTATGTTTAAGATTATCTTAAATAGTCTTAAAATATCATAAATCAATCAGAGAGCTTTAGCATCTTGAGACATTGCGCTCTTTTCCCTGATGAAGTGAACGGGAACATTCGAAATGTTGGTATTAACAATGAATCACGACACGATAATTTGCAAACTTTTTGGTACATCTTAAGACTACTTAAGACGCTATTAAAATAATGGATTATGAATATGAGTCTAAACTTCACACAGATAAGATTAATCGAGCTACAATTTCGAGTTTTCCAATAAATGTTTTGCAGGTTGAAATATTTGCCACTGAATGGATTTCTATCGGCTCCCTGTATACGATTCGATGCAAACGAATATTTAAATTATGTGTCGTATCCGCTTCTATTTCAATTACTTTCGCAACTACGCACGACGGTTGTCCGCGATAGAGAATATTTGGCATTCGGGTAAGCACATTAGAGTGTCAAATAGGAATAAATTATGCGCGAATAAAAAATAAATCTTGACAACTGTTATTTTACTTTTGAAGTCTGTATATAAAGTAAATTTTACAATCTCTATGTATATATGTATATATAATCACAGATGTTTTAAGACGCATTATGACACAAATGTGCTAAACACAAATATAAAATTGTACATAAAAATGAAGAGACTGCATGAAATAAATGCTGATGTTATAATTGAATTACCACGGCAAATGCTAAAAATTCACGAGGTTCACGAAAACGTGACTTGTTCCCTGTGGGAATTAGCGCTAAGGAAAGTTTATACCGAAAGGTAATTGAGAAATCTTATAAACAGGAATTTCTTTATAGTCTTTTGCAAAAGTATAAGTATCTTGCAGATTTAACGCAAATACATTTCAGATATAAGCACATGCTCGACGTTTCCGTTTCTCCCGCAAACGTAACAATACTCTACAAACCACTTAAGAATACTAAACTGGACTTCACACTGTCTACGAGTTATACTTTGTATAATTTATTAACAAACGGACCCACTGGTATCTGTGTAAATTCTCAATGCCAGCAACCGATATTCACAGAAGCTTGGATCATTATCGGTATCAATCGCTCTGCAGAATCTATAATAACGATCGTTTTATGTTGTAGTAGAAGGTAACATACAAAATAATCATGTAGTACCTGAGTGTATCAGTTAGTGAATTTTTTTTAATTTGCAGTTGCGCCACTGCATTCGCTGCACACTCAAGTATGACTATTAATCTTCATTGGCACTCCATCAATTGATGAATCCTCCTAACTAGGTATCTAATTAATCCACTTCTGTATACAAAGTGTTAGAAAAATAAAGAATTCTTACGCACTTAACTGAAATCTTGTATCAATAAGTTTTTAAATTAAATCTAACTTATTATAATTGTAATTTATTTTGCAGCATCGCGGCTACCAAAAGCGATTCTTCAATAATGCCCAGTAGGAGTTCCAATTCCATAACATAACGATGAATTAAATGAAATTATTACATAATGTCATATTCGATAACTTCCTTCAGATATTCAAGACTAGCCTCACTGATAACATTATCTTTCTTTTTATTAAAATATATGTTTGTGACTCGATGTATCTTCCATGCATTATATAAAAATTTCGATTCGTTATGTTTTTTCACACTAAAATCGAGTCGCAACAAAAAATATTCTACATTTTTTCCTGGCGAGTCTACGTCTCAAGCGATCAGAAGATCTAATGCCTTGTCACGATCAAAGTTACACTTTACTAATGCCGCGGAAGCTTCGTCTTCGGGAAATCCTAGATCCTTCAACGTGCATAAATTCTCATAGTAGATCTTTGCCTTGGATTGATCGTGCTGCGCGAGCGTCAGCGCTGTCTCGGCATAGTCACTCGGGACGCCAGTCTCTTCTAAGGATTGGACGGCTAATAGATACTCCACGATCTTCTTCTCATGCATTTTACCTAGTTCCAGTACCGCGCGCGCCGCTCTGCATTTGGGAAATCCCATGTCACTCAATTGCAGGATCAATTTTAGATCATCCTCCGTCATGCCTGATAATAAATCTGCTAGCGGTTTCGCATGATTCGACGACATTGAGTTGTCGTATCTTGGGACTACATGCGCGTCGCTGTTTGGACTCTCCACTCGACTCTTCAAATCGGGCCATGGCTTCCAATTCTGTCGCAAGAAGGGATTAATAGAATCAATTATATTTACATTATAGAGAAAAATGTATTACCTCCATAACAGGCCGTTCTAATTCCTTTTGAAGTTCCTGCATTATTGTCGAAACGCTACGGTGATTTTCGATGCTATGTGTATCTTTGTCGGCTTCGTCCACTTGACTCTTTGTATCGGCTTCTTCCTCCTTGCAAATCTCGGTTGTATCATCAATAGTTAGTTCATTTATAATGTTCTCCAATTTTCCTGCAGGTACCCATTGCGACCGAGGTTGTAAAACCTACATTTAAAAGATATTAAACAAGAATCATCTGCAATGCTTTTCAAGAATTTTAGAGAATAAAACATTTCATTAACCTGCGCTAATTCTTCCATGTCATTGATAGTTTTCAATTCCATATTATCAAAAGGACTGCTCGTGTCATTATCGAAGTCAGCAAAGTCCAAACCCCCATTGATTTTTACATGATCTTGAAAGTCGTTTGCTGGAGGTGACAGCGGCTGTGGTGTGAGTATTGTCGTTTCTGGAGCGGGTGGCGCATTAATAGGTAGCTGCTTCACGCAATCCAATGGTGGAGGCGATGGAGGAGTCTCCTCTCTCTCCTTCTTTCTTTTTTCTTTCAATCGAGCTTGACGTGCTTTGCTGTAGGCTTGTCTAGCCTTGCGCCATTCGCACATCTGATTAATTTGTGAAAATTAATTAATTTGTGATAATTACCAAGTCATAAAATTATTGTTACACATTACATAGAACATTAAGATAATTAAACAATTATGCCTCCTACCTTTTCAAGTACTGATTTTTCTAAGCTGAAGTCGTACGTTAACTTCGATACATCCGGCAATCGGTTGTTATACGCGACAGGTAGGCCGATCTTCCTCGGTGGTTTGTAGGCTTCTGCAATTTTGACATGAACCCCGTCCATGTAAGATGCCACCAAGTCGCATTGAGCTGACACGGACGATCGAGCCATTGATTTCTATACGAAGGAAAACGCCACGAAATAACACGCGACTTGCAACGGAGTTCGTCGCCTTAATCGTCGATGCACGAAGCATAACCTATTTTCCGTTGTAATAAATATCATTTAATTGCTCGTGTCGTAT